TTTCCTATTTATCCCCCATTCCTTAAATATCTCGTCACTTCCACAGACAATCAGTGTCTGTTCTTCTCTCTTATAATCCTGATGGTCATTTGGAATGAAGCAATTCACTCGATAAAATTACTTATAACTGTCGCCCTGATGTCTGATAGGAAAGAAGAAGAAAACCAGTTTACACTGTCTATAACTATAACTCCATATTTCCCACTTTTAGAAAGCTGTATTTCCGACAGAAAGGCAGCGAGTTCGGACCTACTTTCTGGAGACCTAGCAGTTCCAGATCGTGTTCACTTTGCAGAGATGCGACTCACAAGCCATTAACCCTCACCCTTATTCCATCTATGACTCTAATTCCCCCCCTCCCCCACACACACTTATTCCATTTATGTCACCAATTAACCCCTCACCTCTGCTCCAAATATGTCACTAATAACCCCTCACACATATTCCCATTCCTGCCAACAAAAAATGACCACCAAGGTTTGGGGACTTCCAAAGCTGTAGTCTAGCGTCCTTGAAACAGCGATTTCCGAATTTCGACGAGCGCCTGATTTAATTCCACCATCATACCTCACAGTATCATTTTTCTACTCCCCGCCGCCCAGGATTTGTTCACAGACTAATGTCTATGATGCTGCCAGCCCGACCCCAGATGATGGCGGACGGTATGGTGATGATGAAGTCTGCCTCTCCAGATCTAGCACAGCCGGACCGAGTCCGGACCAACTTTGTAGAGACCTGGCTGTTCCAGACAGTGACTACCTGGTAGTGACGTCACTTATGCGTCTTTCCTCGGCTGTTCTATCTAACTGACACACCCAACTTTTTGGCCCGCTCTTTTGTTTTAGTTGATCCCCTTCCCTCCTCTTCCATTTCCATCCTTAGGTTCCTGTCACGTTCATGGCTTTCTAGGGTTTAGTTTCTCACTAATCGTACTGTTCACTAACTAGACTTCCTTTCTTGAACGCAGGAGACCCTGTTCAAGTCTTCAAAGGGAAAAATTGTGAGGCGTGCTGACAAAATGCAAAATGAGTTACTTTTCGCAACCCTAGAATGAAAATATTGGCCAAAATCAACACTGAGGTCAGATTTATACATTTTTAATTGATGCCATTTTGTTCAAGTCTACCGAGTCTTTTATTATTCCACACTCAGAAAATGTACAAACTCCACTTTAAAAGTTGATGTATCAATTTCCATAAGGCTAAACTCTCAAAAGTAGCCCATTTTGTCAGCACACCTCCCACTTCCAAAAGAGTATCTCGGTCTTTTCTTTGGGATGTTGTATCTTTTTCATTTCCCTCCATATATATATATGCCCAGCGGTGTATCTTATGATGGCGAAGCCGGTGACAACCCAGCCGCCGCCCCCACGGGCTACTAGGATGCCAGCCCCTCGCCCAATGATGGCCGAAGACATGATGATGATGAAGGAGTCTTCTTCTCCAGACCTAGCAGAACCGGACCGTGTCCGCACCAACTTTGTGGAGTCCTGGCTGTTCCAGACAGTGACCACCTGGTAGTGACGTCACTCATACGTCATTCCTCGGCTGTTCTATGTCTCTAACACACCCAACCATCACCCCCCCCCTTTTTTTTTGGTTAGTCTCCCGTCGAATCCCCACCCTAAGTTTCCTGTCATTTTCATGGCTTCACAATGTCTATTTTCTCGCAAATTTTGCTGTTCACTAGACTACAATACATAATCTACTAACCTATTTGCATGCGGCGTGATCTAGATCCCTATTTAAGGCTTCTAGATGTGATTGCCTCAGCCCATTCCCAAGCAAAATATCCCCTCTTAACCCCCCCCCCCCTACATCCCCCCAAAAACAAACACAATAACAAATTTAAAAAACCCAAAAACAATAATCAAACGACCAAAATACAAAACAACCAAAAGCAAGCCTTCTAAATGTAATAGTCTCTTCCCCCCCCCCTACCCCCACGTTTCCAGGAAATTATACCGTGAACATTTGATGTTTTAATAAGCTCTGCTGGTTATCTTGATGATGCTATGATCAAGGTTTACAATGTTCTTGCTTTTCACGAATCCTGTTAGGAACAACACGAAAAAAGTCGGCGGGTTTCTTTTTTTTTGGTTTCTGGAGTAAAAGGTATCTGAACGGTCTCACGTGGATTTCTTGCGACTCTGAGGATATTCTGACTTGTTTTACTGATCGGTTAAGCGCTGGAAATATTAAAATTTACTAAGATTTACTCACCGGTATCTTTGGTTTATGCGCTTTTTCTCTTGTCCGCCGGAGACCCCCGTTCGAAACCTCAGTGGGAAAAAGGTATACTGAGTATGGGGGTCTTTTTGTTGAAATGCTGCATCTCTTCCAATTTCGGATTGGCCACGAGAACTAGGGTCGTAAGTCAGCCTCCTAATTGATCTAAATTGTGTCAATTAGAGGGTAAAAACACCTACATTGAAAAAAAAACAACCCAACTAAACAATCAAGATCTCATCCGTTTTTCATATCCCCCCCCCCCCT